TGGGAGGGAGGGCGAGAGACGCGGCATCAAAGGGAGGGTGGGGGGAGCCTTTAATCCGCGGCTCTGCCACCGGGGGACAAAAGGCAGGCATGGAAACGCTCTTGGGCGGGGGTCCACGCTTTGTGCACCTGCCAAAAGTCGCTGGGGCCGGCCGCAAAGCCGGGCCGAGATTAACGAGGGATCAATCGCTGGCGCTCTGCGGGGCCATTAGCATTGCAAAAAGACCCCGAGCCCCTTGAAACGGGGCATTCAGCCATCCACGGCCATGCTGACAGCTCGCCGGGACGGTCGGAGACCCCCGCCGCCACCCTGGCCTGCGCTTCTCCAGGGTTTGAATGGTCCTGGCCTCCCCCGCTGGCCCTAGATGAGGTTTCCTCTGCCGCAGCCTCCCTGCAGACAGACGTGGGGCGGGTGCAGCCCGTTGCCCCATTTCGGGGATGGCTGAGCCGACATGTCCTGCCTCAGGCCGGGGGTTGACCTCAGGAGGTCCCTTCCAGCTCCACAACTCCTATGACATACCTATGACACACCTGCTCACCAGCGCACAGGATGAGCTGGGAGGATGACACGGGACACATGCCTTATGCTTGGGAGGGCTGAGCCAGGCAGTGTGGGGCAGGGCCTGCTCATCCCAGCCCCTTGCTGCTGAGGTGCGGACCCACTCTCAGCCCTCTGCCAAGCAGCCGGTGCAGTCTGGGGGGCAGAGCAGGACTAGTGGGGGGCTGGGGGCAGGCCAGAGGTAATCCCAGCTCTGCCACTGACCCACTGGGTGGCCTTGGTCATGTCCATTCCTCCCTCTCTGTGCCTCAGTTTCCCCATCCACAGAACGAGGAGCCCCCAGACCATGCCGGCAAGGTGTCAGCCTAACCCACCCCTGGAAACCCTGCAAAGGAGGTCCCACAGCCTCACCAGGTCTCTCCTGCACTGCCAAACGGCCCTTCTCGCTGGGAGGTTTCCCTGAGCACCTGCCTTCCTTAGAGCAAACCTTGATTCTTTGGTATCAGCTGCTGATTTAGCCCCTTACCATGGGTGCTGTCCTTGGTAAAACACTTCCCAAAAGTCTTTTGCGTCCTGGAAGAGTGTGTTTAAGCCTCACTCAGAGGCACTGCAGCCCCGGCTGCGGACGGGCCTGGGCTGTGCCAATGCTCCTGCTGGCACCAAACCCGCAGGGTCCCGGCTGGAGGGGTTTGCCCCCGCGCTCAGGGTCAGATCGATGCCACACTGGGGGTCAGGAGGGGGCCTTCTTCCCTGGTCGGACTGGTCTGGACTGGGGGGGGGTGTTTCCCTTCCTCTGGGGTCTCTGGAGTGTCTATTAACCCCCTTTGTGGCAGCAGGACAGTGGCCACTGCGGTCCCCCCGCTTCCCCGGGGGCAGTCCGGTGTGATGCCTGGGTGCCGGGTTTGATGGTAGTTTTGCTCAGAGGTTGGACAGGGCTGATCCTGCTTCAGGCTACACATGGACGAGATGTGACCTCTGGCGCTCCCGTCCAGCCCCACGGCTGTAGGATTTCTATGATTTCACACGCCCTCCAGCCTTCTCCTTTCTAGACTAAACAGAGCGAATTCCTTCAATCTTTCCTCATCGGTTACATTTCCTAACCCTCTTATCGGGTTTGCTGATCTCCTCCGGCCTCTGCGGTGACCCGGCCTCCCTTCC